GGGGAGGGGCTCTCTCTGCACCATTTGCAATGCAAACCTTTTTGCAGACTACCAGTTGCTAATGGAAAATCACCGGTAATTACATAATTACGCCCAAGCCATTTTGCTAGTGCTGCAGCCCCAGCTTTGTGGAGAAGGCCAAGCCCCGCCCCCCTCCCAAAGCAGGAAGATCCCTTCACCCACAACAGGAAGCCAGAGCCACAGCACTGACTCCACACTATGTGGGAGGCAGGGGGAGGGGAGGGGGTGAGCTCCCACCCCATGCGCCAGTAAAAATCAGCTTGCGTGCCACTTGTGGCATGTGTGCTGGGGGCTGCCAACCCCTGGTCTAGATGGTACCGGGTCCTGCTATGAGGATAGGGGATTGGACTTGATGACCTCTCGAGGTCCCTTCCAGTTCTAGTGTTCCATGAATCTAGTTTTGGGTTCCTTTTTATATAGGTGTCAGTAAGAAACCTTTCTAAATAAGACAAACACTCACACCATTTTTAAACTATGACTTTTTTAACAGACTTACAATTTTCTTCTATCTGTTATTTCCATAATCAAATATTATACCCAGACAGCTATTATAAGATGAAAGATTTAAGTATTTTTCAGTATATAACCATACACACCTGGATACAAGAATGTTAAAAATGGCAGGGGACAAAGCAGAATTACATTTAATTCAGCTCGAGGGGACACACAAAAAATTAATGAGCCTGATGACAAACGAGTGCAAGCTAAGCCTAAACAAGCATTTAAACATGAGAAGTTTATGAGCAAAAATTGATCTTCCTTTCGAGTTTTAATAATTGACATCAGCTTTTTTTTTTTTCCAAATTACAACCTAAGGACTAATAAATATTTTTTCACAACAGTAGCGACACACACAAACCATCTTTGCTTACACTGGACAGATCCAAGGATTCGTAATTTGATACACCAAATTGCACATGTGGGTCACTGGTTCAAATCCATGCTGTGCTGTCAGTGATCATAGGTCATTACGATCTGATTGCTATTTAGTGGTTTATGTGAAATGAATTGGTTGCTCAGAACAATTTCTGGAGCACAAATGTCTATTTCCTATAAATCACCATATTAGGTCAACGAGTGGGTGGCCCTCTATATCAGTGCTTAAAATGAAAAACTACCATATTTTCGGTTTTAGGTGAGTCATTTAATTCTGAATTAGAGAGGTGAGACATCAGCACTAGACTCAAACCAGAGATGTGTGAAATTACATGTGTTAGAAGATCATTCAAAATCATCCAAAGCAGAGGACTTTGTGATGATGGGGCATTTCAACTATTGAGAGATCATTTGGGAAAATAACACGGCAGAGAACAAAGTATCCAACAAATTCTTGGCATATATTGGAAACATTGTTTTTAATTTCAGAAGATGGTGAAAGCTACTGGGAGGGATGCTGTTCTAGATTTGATATTGATAAATATAGAGGAACTGGCCAAGAATTTGAAAGTGGAACACAGTGTGGTTCAAGTGATCATGAAATGGGAGAGGTCATGATTCTAAGGAATGGTAGGAAAGAGAACAGAAAAATAAAGACAATGGATTTCAAGAAGGAAGATTTTAGCAAACTCAGGAAGCTGGTAAGTAAAGTAGGTAGAGAACCAAATCTAAAAAAAAACCAAGAGATGACAGTTGGCAGTTTTTCAAAAAGACATCATTAAGGGAACAAGAACAAACTATTCCACTGTGTAGGAAAGATAGGAAGTATGGCAAAAGACTATCCTGGTTTAACTAGAAGGTTTTGAATGATCTAAATATAAAAAATGAGCCCTACAAAAAGTGGGCAAGAGGAAGACCAAAGATGGGGTAGGTCTGTTATTCAACTGGGGAAAAACAACAGGTACTATGAGAATCGCAGAATTGCTTAAGGGCGTCTTTGTTTAGGTTTCCACCAAGAAGGATGGTGATGATTGAATGCCTAACACAGTTAATGGTAGTGAAAATTGGATAGGTTCAGAAGCTAAAATAGGAAAAGAACAACTAAAAATATTTAGTGCTGAAATGCATCCCATAATACTCAAAGATCTGACTAAGGCGATATCTGAACCATTAGCTATTATATTTGAAAAGTCATGGCAGATAGGAGCAATTCTAGAATGCTAGAGAAAGGCAAATATAGTGTCCATCTATAAAAATGGAAATAAGGATAACCCAGGAAACTACAGACCAGTCAGTTTAGCTTTAGTGCCAGGAAATATAATGGAGCAAATAATTAAGAAAGCCATTAGCAAACATCTAAATAATGTGATAAGTAACATGGATTTGTAAAAAATAAACAATTTCAAACCAATTAGGTAGCTTTCTCTGACAGGATAAGGAGCAATATATATGGTATATCTCGACTTTAGTAGGGCATTGGATACAGTCTTGCATAACATTCTCATTAGCAAACTAGGGAAATACAACTTAGATGGAGCTACTGTAAGGTGCCATGGATGCTCTTGTACAAGAAAGCTCTGATGGCCATTCACAGAATAGCCATCAGAGCAACTGTGCTTTTTCCCATAGGGGTTTCTTAAGCAAGAAACCCCTGTTGTCCATCTACATATGCCTTTTGGCGCAAGAGCTCTTGTGCAAAAAGACTTATTCCTCATAGAAAGAGGAATAACTATTGCACAAAAAGCCCTGTCTTCTGATGATCTACTGTACTTTTTCCTGTGCAAAAACATGTTTGTAGTGTGGCTGTTCCATGAGTTTTTGCACAAAAAAACACTTGTTTTTGCGCAAAAACTCTGCAGTGTAGATGTAGCCTTCCTGAAATCATTATCGTCCAGCAACCAGTTCAATCTCTCCCTTCAGGCATGGGGGGTTTTCCTCCTACTGCTTCAGCATTCACTCCCCTGTCAGGGTTTACTTCTTGCTGACTGCAGCTTCCCTCTTTTATATCCCTGCTTACTACCATGCATGAATGTTAGGGCCTGAGGAGTAGAGCTACATTAGCACTCACAACCTCCCTAGAATCTTCCTTGTCAGTGTGGGGTTTATCCACCGCATCACAATGCTCAATTCTTTTCTGTGTGGATAACCTAAGTGAGCACCAAGACAGTTTGTTTAACATTATTGTTCTTTTAAGATTACATTCTGCTGAATTCAGAATCATAAGGCAATGGGGTAAATCAAGCAGAAGGCCACATGCAAAGTATGCCATGAAAGGATGGAAAATTAATTGCTTTCTCATACCACCACCTTTCTTTAAAAATTACATACCTACTTTGATTTTGGATGGCTAAAAGGAAAAGAAAACAGTTATGACATAAGGTGAAGGAAGAAAACTATACATTTTACACTTACTGTTTTGATGTCTTCATTAATATATGTGTCATTCATTATAAACTCAGGGTAACCCACTTTTGCCAAAACGGCTTTTGCCTTTGAAAGGGAAAAGAAAGTAACTGTTTAAGCATTTAAAAGTGCATATCTTCCCTCGCTGAAACTATTGCATGGTACTGTACCTCCCATATGCTTCCCTGATCTTACCTCAAGCAACTTACCTGGGCGCAACAAATCAGTTTTACTTGATAACAAAGAGGGTTACATTCATCTGTCAGTTTACATAGTAGCTCTATTGACTCTATTGCAGAATTACAAGTGTGCTTGATCATCGAATCAGATCCTCTGATTTGAACCTCACTAAGGACTGCAAGCAAAGTTAATCTGATAGTCACAACGCATATCTTTTTAGTGTTTTAAAAAACTGTGACCTGTATAACTACCATGTATGCAGGACATGGATATGAATAGGTCAGAACCTCAGTTGAGATAAACACAGCATAGTTCCACTGACGTCAAATAGGTCTATACCAGACAAGGATGTGGCCACGGTTTTCTGACAGAGAATGTGGTTTCTTCAGTTCATGCTCATCTACCTGAGCTGTCTATTTAAAGTCTTTCCACTGCTCCTGTGTTTTAACAGACTCCATTTCTTAAAATACTTGTTCCCAGTAATAGTACTGTGTTTCTATTCTCAATACAAAAGCCATAGGAACATTAAAATAGTGCAATTTACAGTTAACTTGGATTTATTCTGTTTCATATTTGTGAGAATGTGTCCTCATATGTACACATATGTTTTGGGTATGTGCATAATACTATATATATAATAGGGCACATTCTCAAAAATATGAACCTGAATAAATTCAAGTTATTGTAAATTGCATTATTTTAGTGTTCCAATGGCTTTTGTATTGAGCATAGGAACACAGAATATTCTGTGCTATACACACACACACATTCTCAGTCAGGGTAACTGTCATGCCTGCACTTACATTTCATAAAATCATGACACAAATTGAAAACAATTATGTAAACCAACTTTATAATGCATTTGTGGATGGCACTAAACTTGTCCCACTCCAAGGACATCCATCCATAGTTACTATGGAAACAGTTTATCTCCAGGAGGAAAAGCAGAGAGAGAGTCTAAAAGATGAAGGGAAAAACTGAACAAAGTAAGAAATACAGATGGAATAAGCTAAACATGTGATAGAGTGGGATAGTATAAAATATATATTTCCATGTTGTTTAGGAAGACACATATTAATATATCTTCTAGGACTACGGGACTTTTCTATAAAATTTTCCTCTAGCAATGTGATTCTTTAAAAACAAAAACCTGAAAGCATGTGAAGGCTGAAAGTGGAAAACCCTAATGAACTACAGCTTGAACCTCTCAAGTCCAGCACTCTCTGGTCAGCATGATTTTAGTTAGGCAGATATCCACTGATCATGGGTGTGGCCAAGTTTCCTGCAGTCTCATAAAGTTTGTTTACCACTGCCAATCTTGGCTGTCAATGTTCTGTGCTATTATTTAGCTCTAATTTACCCCTTAATTTCTAAGAGCCCAGTAAGCAGTGAAAGTGTTGGTAATGCTGCTAGATTATATTGACAGCTCGTGATCTGGAAAATTCTCTGGTTTGGCATCAGTCAGCTCCCAAAAGTGCTGGACTAGAGAGGTTCAACCTGTTCGTGGCTCTTTTTAAATAAGCCGCCCTCAGCGTATAAGAACATAAGAACCGCCATGCTGGGTCAGACAAACGGTCCATCTAGCCCAGTATCTTGTCTGCCAACAGTAGCCAATTCCAGATTCCCCTGAGAGAGGGAACACAATAGGTAATTCTCACGTGATCTCTCCCTGTCACCCATTTCCAGACAAGCAAAGGCTAGGGACACCATTCCTACCCATCCTGGCTAATAGCCATTGATGGACCTAACCTCCATAAATCTAGCTCTTTTTCGAATCCTGTAAAGTTCTAGCCTTCACCACATCCTGGCAAGGAGTTCCAGAGGTTGACTGTGCACTGAGTGAAGAAAAACTTCCTTTTGTTTGTTTTAAACCTGCTGCTTATTAATTTCATCTTGTGACCCCTAGTTCTTTTATTGTGCGAATAAGTAAATAACTTTTCATTATTCACTTTTTCCATACCAGTCATGATTTTATAGACCTCTCTCATATCCCCCATTAGTCTCCTCTTTTCTAAGATGAAAAGTCCAAATCTTTTTAATCTCTCTTCATATGGGACCAGTCCTGTATGCTGTTCTGTGAGAGAGCACCCCTTCACCAATATGAAGCTCCTTGACTTCAAAAAAACTCTGTTTTTTTGATTGGTTGTTGGTTGGTTGATTTTGTTTTGTTTTGTTTTTTGTTTTGCTTTTTGCTTTCTCATACAGAATGGGGCACAGGTCATTAAGCAGGTTTAAACTAGCATCAAGGGTGTATTCTCTGTGTCTAAGTCTTTAGACCATTATTTGAGGATTTTAGTAACTTTGTTCTATAACAGGAGTGAATGGGTGAGGTTCTGTGGCTTGCGATGGGCAGGAGGTCAGACTAAGGGATCAAGATGGTCCCTTCTGGCCTTAACATCTCTCAATCTATGAGCTCCTAGCCTCTAAGAAGCAGCTTGCAGGACCAGGACCTTACATACCAAGATAAAAGGAAATAGAAATAATGCAGATAGAACTCTTCTGATACCCTTGAGTCATTTCATATTAATGGCCAAGCCAGACATATAGTAACAACTAACAGCAAACCATGAAAATCCTTGGGAAAAGATATACATTAGAAGTAATACAGATGCATCTTTGTGATCATAATAGGCCCAACCCAAAGATCAAGAAGGCTGTGTTTACTCATCCTCTGTGGCAATAATAATTATTGCAAGGCCACAAAATTACCAGAAGTAAGTAATGTATAGGCCATTTCCATTCCTACTCCAGCTACCACCAGCACTCCCTACAAAGGTTAAGAGGACCATAGTCAGAACAGTCAGCTCCCCAATTTCTTGCCTTCTCTTTGCATCAGCTATTCCAATGTAATGGGGAGAACCAATGCTACAATGTTTTCCTCCAATATCCATTTTTTAACTTCCCTCATTTTCAACAAAACAGGATCTTTGTTTCTTGAGAGTTAATTCTGGTTTTTTTCCCAGCTGAAGTTATTGTCTTCTGCTAGTGACATCACAATTAATTGCTGTAGTGATAATTAAGTTGTCATAAACAGAAGATTACTTCAGGTTGGAAATTAGCCACAGGAACATATGAACTCTTCAGCAAGAAGGATCCCATTGTCATACAAATATCCCCAGTGATAGAAAAAAAGCAATGGAAGACAAATGCTCTACAGAAAATATGAAATGAGCTAAATTACCTCTAAATAGAATGTTTTCTTAGTTTTTCCATGAGGCACAGCAGGTACTAAAGATTTTTTGAAATGCTTGAGAAAACCAGAAAGGATCAGAATTCAACTGTTGACAGCATCTTGTTCCTCCCTCCCCCCACTTGTGCTGTCCTGTCCAGCTGACTGAATTGTTGTGATAGATTGGAAAACTTCAATACTTTACATTAGGGTTTTCAATATTTTTGCTACTATATAAGGGTACGTCTACACTGCATCCCTAGTTCGGACTAAGGATGCAAATGGAGACGACCAAAGTAATTAATGAAGCGGGGATTTAAATATCCCGCACTTCATTAACATGATCTCGCTGGCGCGCTAGTTCAAATCAGCACTGTCAAAAAATCAAAAAATGTCGAATAAAAAAATGAGGAGTAATTTTAGTTCAGACTAAGGGCTTTAGTCCGAACTAACGCATCCCGGCATGCACTTCCTGGTTCAAATCACCTGTGATTCAACTAGCGCGCCAGTGAGATCATGGTAATTAAGCGTGGGATATTTAAATCCCCTCTTCATTAACTACTTCGGTCGTCTCTATTTGCATCCCTAGTCCGAATTAGGGATGCAGTGTAGACATACCCTAAGTCTCAAGAAAGCATGTAAGAAAAATCATCAGTTTTAATTTCCACTAAGTTGGCTGCTTAGAAGAGTTAGGTTACTCTCAAATGTCTTGCATGTATTCCAAAGTAATCATTTTAATCACTTAATTAAGCAGTCTTTGTGTTTCATCTGCATAATTGAGCCCTTAACATTTTTGATTAGACCAACAAAAGAAACAAAATTATTTGTAATAGCTGATGAACAATTGCCCTTTAACTGTTCCAATATTGGGTTGACTTTGAAAGCTGCAATCAGTACAAAATGTGAATCAAAAACATTGCTGAATATACTTATTTTTAAATAACAAAAAGCACTATGATCTCTTTAAAATGCTGGCATTTTCCAGACTGCCTCACAGAACCTTAGCATCTGTAATCCTCAGAGAATGCCGAAGCCATCTTAGGTCCAGCTACATTAGTGAGCAGATCATTCAAGCATGGCTATCAACCTGAGAAGAGCAAAGGTGGACCCTAACCCCAAACCAGAAGTGTTAATGATCTGACCTTGATGTAAGCACACATTTCTTTCTCCATGCGCACCACTCAGATATTTTTATTCCACCTTGAAGAGTCTGTCAACACAGACATTAAAATCCTTCAGAACCAGAAAACTTTTCTCACCTAGATCTCTGTCAGTTCAGCCAAAGAAACTGAGATATATGAGGACAACCTGTAACCTATTCCATTACTCACACAAAGTGGGCTCTCATATCTTTCCTTTTTTGGAGTGAAAAACATCCTACATTTAAGGGTCAGTTCAGCCATGCCGCTTCCCATGTCTGTGGCTGAAAAATGTGCCCATTGCACCAACTTCCAATTGGTCCTGAATCACAGGTTGGCACTTTGTGAAAGAAAAAAGAACAGTTTCAGGTTATCACTTTTTTCCTCTAAACCTCACTCCCTCCTTCCGAAAGATGTCTTATTATCACTTCTTAACATTTCTCTCTTTTGGTATATATTTCAATTATGAGATGCAGGCTGTGCACCATTGAGAGTTATTTAGTTCATGTCCGTGATACTATTGAAATGGGCAACAAAGACTGAAGCATTGGACAATTTGCTTCTTAATTGCAAGTTTAACACTGACTTAAGCGCACCAA